ACCTAGAGGGAACTAGGGAGACTGCCCTAACTTGGTTGACATACCTAGACCCCAAATGATGCATTGGAATTGCAATGTGGTCAGAGATAGTTAGCCAATCCTTCTATCGTGGCACCATGGAGATGTCATTGGTCGAGTTACATTAACAAATGGAAAAAGGTTATATGAATGGAAAAAGGTTTTGGAAATGGTAAGTGACATTAGCATCGCATTGGCATGCATTGCGTAGTGTAGATTAGTTGAATCAAAGTGTTGATTTATTTTCTCTAAATAAGCACCCATTCTCTATTTTCTATGCTTTGTTTGGATTCACGAGGTCATCAAGAGGTGTGTTTTAGAAACCTCCTATTGAGCCGTTGTGCTCAACCCACTATTACCATTTTTTCAGGTCACGGCAAGGAAGTGGCGGATAACAATCCTTCACAAGTTTAGACGGATTGGAAGGAACTTGGACCCCTTTTGTAATTAATGTACATGCTTCCATTTTTGCTGTAAATTTGTATTAGGAGATGACATATAATTATCTCATGGGTAGAAATGGTTTTGAGACCATTCTTTTGCATTTGCGGTCTCATTAGAATTTCTAAATCCATGCAAGGCCTTATGGCCATGTTTTGATGTAACCGAACTCATTTTGACTTAAATGGGTGTATCAAACACATTTGTGGTTTAAATCAATGCATGGATGTCTATTCATGTTTTACATTATTAAATACATGATTCGGGACAGGTTTAGACCTTATACGAGGTCACAAAGGGACCAAAGAGGTGTCAATGTACATAAACACACAATTTAGGCTTTTCTGGGCTAATTTTCAGCATTCTTGTCATGGGTTGAACTGATTCCGGGGTGAATTTGGTTCCCAATGTGGCATACTGCTCATGTTGAACCGGTTCAAGAATTCCTGAACTAGTTCAGGTCTTCCAGGAATTATTTTGCCTTGGTGATTTGTTAACTTTGGATCTCTAACTTCGAGCAGTCATAACTTCTTTGTTTTAAACCCAAATGGGGTCATTATTGAGCCCAATTTCAAGGTTTTTGAGTCAGATTTCCAATGATACCAACTTCATCTTCAGATTCCAATCATGTTGAGAGATATGTCTATTTTAGTGAGACAGTGTCAAAATTTCCCTTAAAATGAGCAGGGGCACTTTTGGGCAATCATGACTAATGCCCGTAGAACCTCCTCGAATGTTATGGAATGACTAAGATTAATGTTATAAACCTTGTTTGAGTAGCTTAGGGTCAGATTATCCATACTTATTATAAAATGACCATTTTACCCTTAGCGTGTCCTTGGATTCGGGTAAGGACCCGGTTAGCGATTCGGACCCCCGGGTTCAGGTTGTTACAATATATATACCCCGGGTTCGGGTTGTTACAATATATATATATATATATATATATATATATATATAGAGAGAGAGAGATAGGCAGGTTGGTTGATTATTTACCTAGAACTGCAATTTTGTTGAAGTGTTTATATATTTATTTATAAACTAATTCCCATATGTTTTCCAGGTGGCTACCGATAAAGCTAAGTCAACTATGTTTACCAGAAGATGAATATGAAGGAGGAGAGGAAGCCAGGGGAGTGATTGATGGAGTGAATGCTATGGTGGATTGTTGTGATATGTTTGATTCTGGGAAAGAAACTGTTTTAATGGACCAAATGCAAAGACACTATAGCAGAGTTGATATAGAATGGGTCCACAGGTTATAGAGAGAGAGATGAGATAAAGTATAATGTAGAGAACAACATTTTGGACCATGAAAAAAATGTAAAAAGTGTTTTTGTATACTTTTGCAATTAGTTTCAAAAAATTGGTAGTTAAACTTAATAGATTGAAAAAGTTAGCATTTTTTAAAATATGTAAATTTAAGTAGTGAGATTTTAAAGTTTCCTAGAACTTATAAGCAGGCACGGACCCAATGTGGGACCAATGCCCCCATTGGATTTTTTATATTTTCATTTTATGCCTTAATTTTTTTAGAATTTATGAATATGTCCCCACTAAAATTATAATTTGCCCTACTCAAATTTTTATTTATTTATTTATTTTATTATTATTATTTTTTTTGCATTTTATACTTTAAATTTTTAAGAATTTATGAAAATTCCCACCCTAAAATTACAATTCGACCCCACTAATTTTTTTATTTTTTTTTATACTTTACATTTTTAAAAATTTATGAAAAAATCCAATTGAAATTATAAAAATAGACCCAGTATATAAGTTTGCTCCCACAAATTAAAAGTCCACCCCCCCCCCCCTCCCCCTCACAAATTTTCGAGGTCCATCACTACTTATAACCTCATTACATCGATAATATATACAGGTGACACCTTACAAATTTATTGCCATGCGTGTATACTATATATATATACACACACGGAAGGGAGAGAAATGTAGGAGACGGAAGAGAGAGAGAAAATGTAGGACAGAGAAATAAGGGAGAAAAGAGAGAAACAAGGGTTTTGTTTGAGTGGGTTAATGGATATTCATTTTAATTCGTAATGGATACCCACTTTTGCCTCATTAAAGACTTACTCACTTAAATTAATCACTCAAATAATCTAATTTATTGAACGAGTTTGAACGGTTTAATGAGTTTATGCATAAATTGCCATGCCTTTCAATTGTTTTGAGACCCATCAAAAGAAATGTTGATGCATCAAAATAATTGGCAAGGAAGAGTACAAGTTCAATACTAAATTCATTGTCAATGGAAACCAAGTCCTTGGTTGAGCAGTTGAATGAGTGTTCTACCATGAGGTGAACTCTCAATTTTAGATATTTCTCAAGCAAAAGTGTTGCCTGCCAATCCTTTCCCAGCAAATTCTCAGAGAGGTTTAGTGCTGACCATATATATACGGCCGCAACTTGGGCGGGCTAACCCAGTCCAACCCAAAAATTTGAAATTTGGGCTTTAAGTTTACAAATCGAGTTTAATTTTTTTTTTCCTCCTTTCTCTCTCCTCTCTCTTCTTTCTCTCTCTCTCTACTGCCGTACCCATACATTTAAGTTAGTAGTTGCAGAGAGAGAGAGAGGGGGGCAAGCTTGAGAGTTGAGAGATAACAGTTGAAGCTTGCGAACGGCAAATCCGAATTGGAACAGCGGGTGATGGAAACTGAAAGATCTGGGTTTTGATTTTTGATTCTTGTAGTTGAACTTTTGATTCTTGCAGATCGGGGTTTTGATTCTTACAGCGGGCGATATGGGTTTTGATTCTTGTAGTTGGGTTTTGATTTTTGCAGATCTGGGTTTTGAAAGATCTGGGTTTTGATTCTTGCAACGGGCAATATGGGTTTGGATTCTTGCAGTTGGGTATTGATTCTTGCAGATCTGGGTTTTGATTCTTGTAGCGGGCAATATGGGATTTGAACTTTTGATTCTTGCAGACAGATAGATAAAACTGAAATATATGGGTTTTGAAGTTCTGATTCTTGTAGATTTTGTAGTTTGTAGTTGCGCAGAGAGAGAGAGAGAGAGAGAGCGAGAAAGAGAGAGAGAGAAGGGGGGCAAGTTCAGAGAGAATAAAGATGGAGGCGATTGGGGAGGCTAAAATAATTTGCCCTAAATAAAATATATATACATATATATATATATATAATTTGTTTTTAATAATAATATAATCAAATATAATATATATATATATATATATATATATATATATATATATAAGTTTCCGAAAAAAAAAAAAAAAAAAAACTCAACCCGTCAACTAGACCCAACCCGTCCGAAAATATTCGGGCTGGGTTATGACCATAACCCATATTGGGTATAATTCGGGCTGACCCAACCCAACCCGATTCGGGTTAAGGTTGGGTTGGGACTGAGCTAGGTTGGGCCAGACTAACTTGCAACCCTACATATATATATATATATATAAAGATTCTTCTGTTGTCATTAGTTTTCAATGGCATAAAATTGAGTTTGACACTTGAAATAGTTAGAACTTTGAAGGTTTGCTTTTTTCTTTTTCTTTTTATTTATTTATTTTTATATAAGTTCACTCTTTAAATTTTGCAGGACTCCTAATGCAGCGGTAGAGTTGCCTCACTTAATATCAGGATTGTTTACTTCAAAAAGGAAACATAGTTCATTCCAGTTATCTCTCACCTATTCAATTCCATGGTACACATTTTATCTCCGCAAATAATATGAATTTTATTAGTGATGTATGCATTAGTAATTTGTTTGATACATTATTGATTGACTATAAGTTTTGAAAAAAATCCGAGCCCAACTTAAAACAAAGTAACAATAAATTGCTTCAACTAGTTTAAGTAAATTATTTTTTAATTTTTGATTTTCAGTCAGTCATGTGCATCGCACATGCTAGTCATTTCTAAAAATGTTAGTAAATGAGTTTATAGGTACAATTTAAATGTCAATCTTTATTTTATTTTATTTTATTTTTATTTTTATTTTGACTAATAAGTAAGAGAAACGAAGAGGATGGTGTATTATTGTGACATCGTGTGTGGATGAAACCCATCCTAAATTGAGGTGCACATGTGACCCTTGTCATCCAACTAAGAAGAACATAGAATTCTTTGAAATTTTATTCAAACTAAGGAGACACTAGAGGGTATTTTTTGAAAATAGAACTATGACCATAGGGGAAAAAAGGTCTCTATTTGACAAATTCAAACCATGGCCACAGAACCATTTTTTGAAACCAAGGTCTCTAGTGGGAAAGGGATTCTGCAAGGTATTTTTTGAACACAGAACCATGACGATAGGGAGAAAAACGTCTCTCTTGTGACAGATAATCATTTCTAAAAATAGTATTAAGTTTACAGCTACAATTGTAATGAAGAGGACATTGTGATGCTATAATTGAATAAAGTCGGTCCCCTCCTCACACACACATCGAGTTGAGATTGACACAGGTTTCTTCACCAGGTAGGCCCACTGTATACACAGAATCAGCCAATTTATATGCCCTCTATGAGATTGGACTTGCAACTCATGTTGTTCACCTCCTCCTTTTTCAAAGCTCTGTAAAAATGGCACTCCCAACTCTTGCTCATCTTCTCCAACTGATCATCATTCTTTCTGCTGCTACTTCTCACACAAATGCAATCGACAGATCCACCTACATTGTCCATATGGACAAGTCCTACATGCCCAAGGCCTTTCCTACCCACCACCACTGGTACACCTCCGTCCTTGACTCCACAACACCAAAATCCACCCAAAATCTTATCTATGTCTACGACACTGCTTTAACGGGTTTCAGTGCTTTGCTCTCTGAAGCTGAACTGAACTCCCTTAGAAAGTACCCCGGTTTTGTTTCAGCTTATGCTGACAAAATTGTCACTCTTCACACCACTCACACCTTTGAGTTCCTCTCCCTCAATCCTGTGGCAGGACTATGGCCGGCTTCGAATTACGGTCAAGATGTCATCGTTGGTGTCATTGACACCGGGGTGTGGCCAGAGAGCAGGAGCTTCAATGATGATGGAATGACCAAAGTGCCCAAAAGATGGAAGGGGAGGTGCCAAGGAGGTCAAGATTTCAATTCTTCCTTATTTAACTCCAAGCTCATTGGAGTTAGATACTTCAACAAGGGCGTCATGGCAGCAAATCCTAACACTACCACTACCATGATCAACTCGGCCAGGGATACTGCTGGGCATGGGACACACACTTCCTCCACAGTTGCCGGAAACTATGTTGAAGGCGCATCCTACTTTGGCTATGCTTCCGGGACTGCAAGAGGGGTTGCACCACGTGCTTGGGTGGCCATGTACAAGGTCTGCACGAGCAATTACGAAGAATGCTACACCTCCGATTACCTTTCTGGTATGGACCGTGCCGTTGCTGATGGGGTCGACACGATGTCGATTTCGATGGGTTTTAGTATTGTTGTCCCTTTATATGAGAATCCTTTTGCCATAGCTTCATTTGGAGCCATGGAGAAAGGTGTGTTTGTGTCTACTGGAGCGGGAAATGATGGCCCCTCTCTTGGGTCATTATACAATGGAATCCCATGGGTCTTAACCGTCGTTGCCAGTTCAATTGACCGTTCTTTTGCCGGGACTGTGACTCTTGGCAATGGGCTAACCATCAATGGATGGACCATGTTCCCTGCAAGTGCCTTGGTTAATGACCTCCCTCTCATTTACAACAAGACGCTGTCACATTGCAATTCAACTGGGTTATTGTCTAATCCCCCTTATGATGGCATCATCATATGTGATATCGACACTGTAGATTCTCTCTACGACGTTGAGACTCGGTCAAAAGCGACCTCAGCCATCTTCATCTGCGATGATCCACTATTAGCCGAGTTTCAAGAATTTTTTTATCCGGGAGTTGTGATTGGCTCAAAAGATGCAGAGGTAGTGATCATATATGCCAAAAGGTCTAAGAAGCCTAAGGCAAGCATAAAATTCCAACAAACCATTTTGGGGACAAAGCCTGCACCTGTTGTTGCTTCCTACACTTCAAGGGGTCCTGCACAGAGCTATCCCGGCATCCTGAAACCGGATTTAATGGCGCCAGGGTCACTAGTCTTAGCAGCTTGGCCTCCCAATAGACTTGCAACCTATATTGGTTCGAATATAGATTTGTCTAGTGATTATAATCTTCACTCTGGGACATCCATGGCGTGTCCTCACGCTTCTGGCGTGGCTGCTCTCCTAAAAGGCGCTCATCCAGAATGGAGTCCAGCTGCTATAAGGTCCGCCATGATGACCACGGCGAACCCACTGGATAACACTCTGAATCATATTCGAGACCTTGGTTTGGACCTCGAAAATGCCTCACCTCTAGCTATGGGGGCAGGACAGGTTGATCCAAACAGGGCACTTGACCCCGGTCTTATATATGATGTGAGTCCACATGACTATGTGAATCTCCTCTGCTCGATGAATCTCACCAAGGCACAAATCCTAACCATTACAAGATCAAACAATTACACTTGCTCCAGCCCTTCTGAGGATCTGAATTATCCATCATTTATTGTTTTGTACACTAACAAAACAACAATGATCACTCGAACATTTCAGAGAACAGTGACAAATGTTGGGGATGGACCGAGAATTTACAAGGCTGAGGTCACAGCACCCGAGCATTCCACCATCTTTGTCTGGCCGGAGAAAATCCTTTTTGTTAAGAAGTACGAGAAGCAGAGCTACAATTTGACAATAAAGTACATGAAGGAAAAGAATGGCACAGTCAAATTTGGTTCGCTTGTTTGGGTTGAGGAGAATGGAAATCATACAGTGAGGAGTCCTATTGTGGTATCACCATTTGATGATGATTTGTTGTAGTCCAAGCTTTAGAAGTAATCGAAGTATCACATTCTAGGCAATGAATTTGTAGTGTTGTCTGTTAAAAAAACACATCTTTAAAATACATGATTTTCTCAATTACTACGATTTATTTTACCCTCTCTACACTCTCAATACAGAATTTTCATACTCTAATGACAGGAAATCCTGTGTGGTTGAGGATGAATTTTCGAGTAACCAAACAGTCAGGTTGCCCCCAAGTGGCTGTGCCATGGCACACATAATGTGAAGTTCAAGGCAGTTTATTTGCATATCATTCAAAATTTAGATTGAAAATTTAAGTGTTTAACCAGAGCATAACATTCAACGCAGTGTATTTGCAGTAAAAAATAATACAGTACTACATCTTCAACATACATGCTTTTTTTCTAAGTACAGTGATTTATTTTATCATCTTTTTACTCTCATAAGTGGTAGTGGGATAGAATTTTCCTACACTAGTGACAGGAAATCCCGTGGTTGAGGAATGAATTTCTGAGTAACCAAACAGATAAACACATTAGCTCGGATGTTTAATTGAACCGTTCAATAGTTCATTGTATATGGGTCAAGTGCAAAAAACACCCCTATAGTATGCATATAGTGCATATTGCACCCCTCCCGTGCAAAAAACACCCCTAAACTATGACATTTGTGCAAATAGGTCATATTTATAAAAATTGGACTAAGATACCCTTAGCAACACATTTTATAATATATATAAAAATATATATTTTGTGAAATGACTAAAAAGGGCTTGGCCCTTCTTCTTCTTCATCTTGGTGGTTGCCAGGGAAGCTAAGACTGGAGAAGATACATATATACACAGACATATATATACAGATATATATACACATATACACACGCATAAATATACCAATATATATATATATATATATATATATATATTTATTTATTTATTTATTTGTTGTAAATTTACATATTACACATATATACATAGACTGATATATGCATATGCACGTCGCCGGGGAGGGAGTGAGAGGTTGATGTCACCGGGAGGGGATAAAGACGGAGGCGTCTCCGGGGAGGGAGATAAAGACGGAGGTGTCACATGCTCACGGCCGAACCCAGTTGTCACCGGCGGTGAAGGATAGACCGGATTGTGACTGCGAGGGGGTCCGAGGAGTCCTCTGCTTCTGGGTTCACCGTCGGTGATCTTCAACCTAGCCACCTATCCAGCCGCTGCGTTAATTAGACTCCAAGCGTCGTCAGCGGCGACGATACCTGAGAAGGACCGTTTGGGCTTCCATTGCTAGACCAGCTTCCGATTCCACTGAGAGTCGATTGAGGCGATCCGGATAAGACCTATGTCTTCTGAGTTAACACAAACACCGAATCTGAACACATTCTCATGAAATTCATGACAAAAAACAAGCAAAATCAAAGATTATAGCATCATACCTCGATATTTTGGGGACAAGGAGTGTTTTTCTGAGTTTCTTGCAGAGTGGCCCAAGTTAACTGGTGAGTCAGCGCGGCGAGGAAGTCCTCGTTACTCTCAGTCTCCGTCGAGCTAACCACAGACTAATTGGCGGACAGCAACGACGAGTCAGGATTCCTGTATGGCGAACGACGGCGGTAGACTATGGTGATGTGGGGTTTGCGAATGGGTCTTGCAGCTTTTGGTGGTTGGCTCTGTAGGCTAGATTTTGGTGTTTGAGGAATTTGGTTTGGTTGGCAATGGCTATGGTTGGCAGTGGCTATGTGTATATATATAATTTGTAAATTTACAATAAATACATACATCTATCCGTATATTTATGTCTATGTATATATGTATATATATGTCTGTGTATATATATATATATATATATATATATATATATATATATGTATCTTCTCTGGCCTTCCCTTCCCTCGGCGACCACTAAGATGAAGAAGAAGAAGGGCAGAGCCCTTTTTAGTCATTTCACAATATATATATATATTATAAAATGTGTTGCTAAGGGCATTTTAGTCCAATTTTTATGAATAGGACCTATTTGCACAAATGTCATAGTTTAGGGGTGTTTTTTGTACACCTTTTTAAATAAGGGGTAAAAGTGTTATAAAAAGTATACTTTAGGGGTGTTTCTTGCACTTTCCCCCATTGTATATATGTTATCTATCTCTTGTGTCAATATTTTTGATTGTGACCCTTTCATACATGGTAACTGGCATCACAAGCTGAAGAAAATTGATATACAAACTGGAACATATAACTTACCTCCAAAAAGAAAAAGAAAAATATGATTGTTAATTTAGCATTCTGTGTAGAGGAAACAGAGATTAAAGGTATTAAAAATGAAATACACAATTTAATTCTGTATCTGCTAGTTCTATAATATTAATCTAATGTAACACAGTAGTCCTGTTATAGGATTATACACCAGGCAACTAGGAACTATAACTCAGAATGTTCGGCTTAAAACTTTTATCTTTTAGCATTTGATTGAGAGAGAGAATGTTGCTAATGGTTAAAACTAACGGGGTAAAAAATATTATCTACTGACTGTTATGTAAACTTTGATAGAGCCATTTGTAATACATGATGATACCATTTACAGTCACCCAGATCCCAGTAGTCTTAGAATTATCTTCTTCTGCTGAATGCGTCGTGATTATTACCACTCTTTTTGTCTCTGTTGTGTTCTTGCTATTGTACTTCTTCTACCAGGTCTTCCATTTAAGCTTTTATCTCTGTCCGGTATTTTGTTGCTATGTTCCATAAAACATACCACACAAAACTTAAAATGGAACCGAATGCACATCAATGGCAATGAGGCCTAAATACTTCTTGTCAAATAATTTTCCTATATTTCTGCATAGTAGCATTTCAAGGTCGCTTTCTTTCAGTCCCTTTCCAAGTTTTCTAAGTAATAATTTTGTCTCTGTAATGTTGCAGTTTAAAGTTTGCTTTTCAATGTTCAAATAAAAGAAAGTTGATCTAGATCATAAATAGGGAAAAGGATTGAAATTGACTGTGTGTTTATCAATATTAAGTTTTTTGAGATCACCATTACATCTTTCCTTGATTTGTCAAGATGCATGGCTGCTTTAAGAGATGCATTTCTACCTTCATATGATTTTGAGACTGCCATATAATTTATTCATATGATTTTGAGACTGCCATATAATTTATTCATATGAAATACTGCTTTAATTTTATTTTCCCATTTCAGTGTATTCTTATTATGTTGGTTCTAGTATATCTTAAGTACATAATCCTAAAAGATTTAATTTTCACTCACTATATAATATATATCCTTCCCTAAATTTTTTTGCTATTTTTCCTTGCATTCTCATGGAGGAAGTCATGCAATTCTATTTTTTCTGGAGTCCTTTTCAAGATTAACTTTGCAGCTCTCGTTTCTCTTAAGGTAACATCATAATACCCTATCATTCAGCGCAGCACAGTGCCTGCTTTAATTTATCATGATTTTGCATTGTATTAACTCTTTGATTTCCAAATTTAACTAATATGAAAACCTGCATGATTGTCCTACATTTAATCAGCATGAGGGATAAAAATGACCAATTCATCCCTGACTTTTATCTTTTATTAACTAGCAGAAACCGTTGAGAGGAGCATTATAGTTTTTTTCCCCCCAATTTTCTTTATTCTTGATCTAATTTTGGATTTTCTATGGTCAATTTTTGAGGTTCCGGCGACAAAATGTATTAAGGTTTTCAATCAACAAGGAGATCAAGATAGCCTAATTTCCAACTGTAATGACCCTAAACTGAATACCGAAAATCATAAAAATTTAAAAAAAAAAAAATTTCGGCATGACCTCCGCTAAAAATAGTCCTACAACAACCTGTTCAAATGAAGAAAAAAAAACAACCTTTCAAGACCTATCCAACCTGCCCCAACAAACAATATAAAAGAAATATAATGCATTCCCCAATACCACAACATCAACGACCTTCCCAAATTAGCCCATCAACGTCATCCCCTTCAGCTTAAGCATTTACATGATCTCAGTTTACAACAAAAATAATCAAGTATCTTAGTTACGTTATAGGGCCATTATTTGCAAAAATAAATACTCTTTTACATAGTTGAGACAATACAAAAAAAGAAATGGGCTAAGATACAAAAGATAAGAAAATACAACTCCTAATCTTCTTCAAGCTTGCGGGGGATTGTCATCCGCTACTTCTTTTTTGAGCCCTAAAAAATGTTAAAAAATAAGGGTGAGCAAAATTGCTCAGTAGGTAGTGTCTAAGGCACACCACTTAAGATCCCGTGAATCCACACAATGAATAGGAATAAGGAAATTGGGATCATACCATGCCGGGAGTAAAAGTATAACTACGATACCACATCATTAATCCAACACCACAAATAAATATGCCATGCACTGAAATGTCGTGTCATGCAATGTCACTCCCTATTTTCCCAAAACCATTTCCATCATCATTTTCAAACCGTTAGTGAACCCGTCCCATGGCAACTCCATGGCAGCACGGGAGGAGGATTGGCCACTGTCCCTGCCCATGGCAACTCCATGGCGTCATTTGGGGCCCAAGTAACTCAACCACACTAGGGCGGTCTCCCTAATCCCCTCTAGGCCTCACTAACGCCGCAGTCCCTAGGCAACTCCTAGGCGGCCGGGTTTTTCACAAAAAAATCATTTTCTTTCAAAACTTTTCCCCAAAAGTATTTTCATTTCCGTTTTCAAATCAATTTTTCCATTTCATTGCCCAATGTCATGTTTGAATGTCCCATATATTTCAATGTTGTGCAAATAGGGAAATTTCATGCATTTCAAGTAAATAATCAACAATGAACATATTATACAAAAATTCCCTAAGTATAATTCATACTTTTTATTCACAAAATTCAACACTAAAGGCAACATGGGCATAAAATTATCATCAATTAGACATGATTCACCATCATTTACTAAATAACACATAATTACATGCTTGCACAACATATATAAAGAACATTGTATGAAAAGTTCACAAATTAAGCATGAAAAATCACAAATTTGAGGGAAATGAC